GTGTGATGGACCTGTTTGATAAGGCCGTGGGCACTTCTGCAGCATCAGGGGAAAAGGAAGAGAACAGGGCTCCTTGCCAGCAGCAGCCGTGGTAGGCACCTCTTAACATTAGAGGACACACAGCGTAATAGATCCTTGTTCTTCCCCAATGTCGCAGCCACAGTGTGTAGTCAGTGAGCAATGGGAGACATAAAACTCCTGGAAAAAAGCACAGATTGTTTAGCCATACCCAGACTCTCACTGGTTCTGTCATCTCTGGTTTTGTGCCAGCGGTTATCCAGTGTAAAGGTGTCTGTGCACCTGTTCATAAACACCAACATCAGTATATTATGTTCTGTTCACCTCACATCAGACTGTGGAAGGAGGTTAAACACAAAAGTCTTTTAGAAGAAAACACTCAATCAGCTCAAATCAGCTTGAAACTCACGGCACGTGTCGGCAGAATAATACTGAGAGGTCAAGGAAACCGTTGAAGGAACAAGGGAAAAATCACATTTTCCACTGCAAACGAACACTTGAATTGCGACTGGTCATTGTGCACGATCGAAATAGATATCTTCCTCGGCTACCCTCCAACAAATATAAAAGGATATTGTGTTACTTTTTATGAAACTTGGACTTTATGTGTGAGTATTTGTCAGTACAAAAAAGTCAAAAGTTTTAAACAAGAAACACTTTCCTCAGATATCTCTACTTGTTCTTTTTCCTTTGTTCCAGGTTTTGTTCAGAAATAAGTTTTTAAACAAGACACACAAAAGCAGACACTGCAATCAAGCGAATTACACACAATTGTAGAAAATTGGTGAAATTTGTCTTGAAGTTTGGATCGGAAATTTATCATAATTTCACCATGTTTTCTTTCTATGGAGTTTTTGTTTGTTCGTACCTGTAGAAAATAAAGTGTCATTGTGCAATTACAGTTGGCTCAACATTGTTCTTTCCATTGCCTCTGTTCCCATTGCTTAATACAAACAAAGGTTTATATTCCATGATGCAATCGTTCAGTTTGAAAGGTTTAAATTTCCTGGAACATGGACTTATGTAGGTTTTGATGTTAATTTGCACCCCTTCAAAGATGATTCATGCATTTTTATTTGCCTGCATACAAACTAAATGCTACAATATAAGACAAAGCCTGACTACTTGCTAAAACAATTGAGCTCATCGTCAGTATTGTGAGTACAGTGTGAGATATATTTAATATCCACCTGTCAACAACTCCCCTTGCTCGTGGATCGTTTGAGCCTGGCTAGGCGACAGTTGCGGTCAGTTTAGTTGCGATGGCTGTGGATGTTTATAAAGCGGCTGGAAGGCAGCAGATGTAGTTGCGATGAATGAGAAAAATAGTGAAAAGAAATGACCGTGCAGATTCGCCTCCCACTCCATGAATTACATGGTTTGTGATTGTTTTTCTCTTGAGAGTTGTGGTTGGGATAAAGGCTTCAATGTCAGAATTGTGGTGATATGCTCTAATTTCCCACGCTTCACTCTGATGCAGTTGCTGTACTCATTGCAATCGAGGCAGTGTTTGCTATCATATCATAGCATTTTCATAAGCCTGCAACTTTGGTATCACATAGTCGTTGAATGGTTTCTTCAAGCCCGGTGACGATAACTATCTTTCCTATTGTATTAAATTGATCTCATACTCACAGGGTAGCAGTGTTGATGGGGCTAACTGCAGACAGTCACAAAGAAGGCTCATGTACGCATCGTACAACGCAGGCCAGTGATGTTCCATCTTTCCATCAGACAGAGTAGCTGTCATAAGCTACTTTACTAAAATCAGACACTTTTTCCATTTCCTAATACAAGTCCAATGTAATCCAGGACACCATGTCAGAGAGTTTGCCCTCCACTATTTCTTTCTTGTGTCTTGAAAACTAGACTGGAGTTTCTATCCTGTCTCAGACAAGTGATTTATATTAGATGTCTGGACACTCTGGTCATAATCCAGAATCTTTCAGTATCAGCATTCTGCCAGATAACTTAATCGCAACTCTGTGCCTCCTCAAAGAAAAAATTACAATGTGTCACCATGACTCAGGATACATTTGCTTGTGAGTTGTATCTGCAATAGAGAAGCAATATAGCAGCATTACCTTGTGGACTCATTACAGCTGCATGTTTGGCAAAGGGCAGGATGAAGGGATACACCTGCTCTGGAATGAAACATATCACATCCGTACATCAAAGTAAGAGGTGACTTAAGACTCTTTTCAAGTGCTTGAAAAAAACCATAACCTAGAGTTCCTAAAATCCAAAATTTGACTCTTAGGGTGTAATTACTGAGATTACTGCAACTTACACTGATACAGATCATTGATTTTTAGCAAGTGTCAGCCAGTGGAGATCAACATATTAATTAAGGATTAAATATTTAAGAACCACAGAGTTTATCCACACTTCCAGCTGTGTTAAGGAAAAAAGAGAGGACTAAATAAAACCTTAAATGAAGGGAAATTCTCTTTGAGGATTCACGTTATTTATTTTGATAATGATGAAAGTTAAAACTATAACCCTAATTTGAAGATATTGATCCTCCACCTTCCCCACCTATATCAAAACAAAAGCTGCATAAAAAGAAAATAACTAAAATGATGATGTTAAAGTCATATGATATTGTAAGGCAGTTCATTTTTCTTTATAGGACTTGAAATAAAAAATAAAAAGACATTATGAAACAAGTTCTTTGTCGTTATCCACTCTTTTCTTTTCACATCTTGTTGCTTTTTGACCTCTATTTGACACATAATCTATAATGTTTATGTGAATTTTGACGCAATTACAGTGACCCAGGGTGTGAACTTAAAAGACCTCTCTCAGACTTGCTCTTTTCCTTGAACCCACATTCAAGAAATGACACGGAAAACAAAGGGAGAAGGCAGCGAGTGGTGGCCTCTTCTCTTGCCACCCACTCTGTTCTACATAGTTTATGGCTTTGACCTTAAGCAGTGTGTGAACTTTCATCAAAACACACACGCATACACAGACTGTTAAATCAATTTGTACAAGCAACGCACACTGCACTTCAGTTTTGTTTTGATGCAACTTGTGTGCCTGACCTCAGTTCTTTGTTTCTCTGCAACATTTTGTTCGATACATTTGTCCAACTATATGTGAACACCTCTGTGTGGCCTCACAAACACGCTTCCCTCTGCAGCGATAAACAGGATGTGTGCATCCTCACACACACACACACATATATATACTATATATATATATACTATAGTGTATAGTTTGAAAAACAATGTCTTTAAAACTATGTTCGAGGCAAAACCTTCTCTTGCAGTGGCTGGAATCTGTATTTTTATCAGGATCACATGACTGCTTAAATCTGAACACTGCATATACAACTGCAGGTCCCCTCACCACTACAGAGCGTTTAAGCATCTTTCAGCTAGTTAGTTTGATTTTCAAGCTCAACCTCACCGTTCTGTTTCACTCTCACCACTGTCATAGCATCATTTCCAACTAATCAATTCAGCAAGAATGATATAGAAACACTTCATGCCCAGTATGAAATTACAGACAGTGAACATAGTGTAGCTTCTAGCCAGATATCTTCCACAGGAGTTGGTGGAGACCAAAACAGAGCTAAAAGTAGTCGGTATTGCAGTTTTATCAATCAGGTTGCAAATTCTGTACGTTTATTTTTAATTAGGTATTTGATGCTGTAAAAACAGGGAGAAAAACGTCATGAGTGACAGCTCAGACTGACACAATTGGTTGAGTGCAGACTTTGGGTCCAAATGCACAAGAAGGGGAGTTTTCTATTTAAGCTGCAATTGTGGATTGTGTGAGACACGCACATTGTCCATCTCTGTTTCTGTGCCCTCTATCTATTTAAAGCAGTGTCCACAGCCTCAAAATGGGCAAATATTCAATTGTTGTTAAAATGATCTTTATTCAACAAGTCCTGTGTGGATAAGATACTGTTTATTGTTTTGGTTATATAATTCCATAATAAGCCTTTCTATTTCTGCCTTGTTGAATTTTATCATCCACAGCCTTGGAATTAGCAATTAACAATCCTAATGTGCTCAGATGCATCAAAAGGAATTTACACTGAGGCTTCTGCCGAGCTGTGGATACGTAGAATTGCTGCACCCGTGTGATTTTCTCATCTAAATGAAGACCAGGGTCATGTCACTACCCTTCTGCTATTTCTCCATATTTAAATCAATTTCGCTTCAATTGGCATCAGTCCAGAAACAGTCAGTATGAAAGCCTGAAGGAAATTTCCTGTTTGTGTTGCCGGATTGAAAAGTCTCCCCTGCCATCTCTCCCATTTGTCATACACAATGCAGTGTGAGCCAGAAAGTATAGGAATAATATGTTTTTCTATGATTCCAGTTCTGTGAATGTGAGGGTGTGACTCAGAGTAAATGAAAAACTCATCACTTTAGATTTATGGACCTGAGATGGTTTCCGCACAGCGTGTCAACAGCTCACCCCTGACGTGGCATGCTGGAAGATGGGAGACGGACGATGCAGGAGACAGAAACTGCTTTGAGTTAATGGGCTACATACGGCTCACACACCAGCAGAAGGTTGTTCTGCAAACGAGGAGGGCACAAGATTTTGGCTTGGAGGCTTGCTTTTGTTGATATTGAAAGATTGTTTGAACTCTCTAGTCGTCACTTGGCTGGAAACATGCTGATGAGAGAGTGGAGGCCTTTTCATCTGTGTGCTATTCCCATTACCTGAAATATTTGGCTGTAAATCACAGTTTGAGCAGTTGCCGGGGGTGGAGGGAAGGAATTCATTAGAGTAATGAAAAGTATTATGACATCATTTTGTTGCTTAAGTTGGGTGTAATGTAATGAGTAGATATTGACTGAAACCAACCAAGTTACAAAATAATAAAATAACATTTACGTTTGACAGCTTAGAGATTTGTTTTTCTCTTAACTGAGTTTTCAAGCAATTGCCTGTAAAAACCTGTTGCATTTTTATTTCATGCTCAGACTCAATGAGGAACGTTTGCTCTTTTGCAGGTAAAATGTCAAACATCCGTGCCGTCAGGAAGAGGCAGCAGCTGAATAACTTGGTTGCCATGGTTACGGAGCTAGCCAGGCCAGGACACACGATTGTGGATTTCTGCAGTGGAACGGTACATGTGCTCATCCATCACTCCAGCTTTGCATCTATATTTATCAGTGTATCTGACCTTTGGTGCATTAGACTGCTGCCCCATTAGCAGGAACTAGTTATCATAGTTCTCCCTCACACTTTAAAACATTTTTAGTTTTTGGCTCATGCACACAGACAGACTGGTAGTTACACTTGTGAAAATGCACACCCGAAGCAGAGGAGCTGTTAAGCATGGTTAATACATAAGAATCAAAATGGTTGATACTATTGAATGTGTCTGTTTGATGTGTCCTGCTTTCCTGTTGTTAATTCTTTCACTTTTCTTTGTGCTGTCTCTCAGGGCCATGTAGGGATTGTTCTGGCTCACACTCTTCCAGATTGCCAGGTAACGTCTGTGATTGTGTAAATTATTGTTAAGTGCACTGTTTAATTTTTAAGACTAAAAGATGAAGAGTTGAACCAATAGATCAACTAATAATGAAGTGAGTATTTCAATCATTAAATAGGCCTTTTGTCATCTCACAGTAATGAAAGACTTGGAGCTGTTATTTCCACCATCCAATGGTTGTTGTCTTGTTGGTTTGAGCTTTGTTATATGTTGCCATACATGTTGACTTTATTATTGCTCATTTCTTTAGAAAAAGCAGAAACCACATGCAACTGTTTGACTTTTTTTCTGTGTATTCAAGGTCATCCTCATAGAGAACAAAGAAGAGTCCTTGGTCAGGGCCGAGTGTCGCAGTGCAGAGCTCGGTCTGAAAAACATCGGCTTCATTCAGGCTAATTTGGATTACTTCACTGGACCTTTTCAAATTGGGGTGAGTAAGTGAGGAGAGGTGCCTTGTGATGATGATTTATAGATTGTGCAGATAATATGGTAACTATTTCAAGTGACTTGACTATTATTGAATTCACTTGTTTGAATAACTGATGCTCAAGTAGTAGGGTAATTAAAATCAAACAGATGTTTGAGTTGTAGAGTCATAACATTATTTGGACTATACAATATTTTGTTAGTTTAATTGCTATAATACAGAAATCATAACTTAGCAATATTCAGTAGTAAAACTCTAATCATAATCCAATTTTCAAACACCACACACTTTAATTAAATAAAATTACCTCTTCCACTGTAAAACCTCTCCTGTTCACAGAACAATTGAAAATAAGGGGAAATCAATTTAGTAAAGCTTGATAGTGTCATCTGTACCTTAAGATGCAGAACATTTTGTTTCGATTTCACCTAATCAGATCACACATCATTTCAAAACACATTTTAAGTTAAAGACCTCACACTATTTATGAGAGAAACTTAACAGTCCGTGCAATGAGAAAGCAGTTGGTGACAGCAGTGTAGAGGATGAAATGTTTAAACAGGAAGAAAACCTCTAGAAGAACCAGGGTGGGTGTTCATCGGCCTTGATGTCTGACTTATTGTTAAGACAATCATAATAATGATTCTTATAAATATAATATGTTATTAATTAACAGTGACAATTTAAACTACTAAAAATGATAACGTCGACACTACCATTAACAAGGTAGTGGATTGGCAGTGATAGATCTGGATCCTGAAGCTCTGGATTCAACGATACGTGCAGAATGAGGGCGAGGAGAAAGGGGACACAGAGTGAAAGCACAAACTGTGGGAGAGTGAAAACAAAAAGTTAATGACATGCAGCACTGTGACATGGAGAGAGAAAGAGAGGCTCGGTGCGTCAGGGGAATATGGGTCTATGAGCTCATTAAAATCTGATGGAGAGGCCAAGGTAATTCCCTCCAAAGTAACTAAACCATCAGATTGTGTTTGATTTTCAGCCTTTATATCTTTAATACATTCCTGAAGTCTGACCACCTGATTAGTTCCATGCAGCTTCAGAGATAAATACAGCTGTGTGTCATCTGCGTAGAAATGGAATGTGAAGTGTGATTTATATGATGCTTTTGGATAACATTGCCTAAAGGAAGCATTAATAAAATGAAAGATATCAGTCCCAGCACATAATCAGACTAGTGTTGGCGCACTACCTTCTTATTGAGGTAGATTACAAAGAAGTGTTTTAAAAGCAATTTCATGACTTTCATTTATTTCTCTGCATTAGAATTCCTTAACAGCCCTATTACCCGAGTTATTATCCATTTCCTTTGTGCAAATATACAGTACATTGACCTTTTCTTCGCAGCGAGGCACATCACAATATCACTAATATATAAATAAGCCACTAATCCAATGCTTCCTGTTTCTGATGTTAGATAGAAACTGTGAAGTAAACACCTTTGATTAACACCGCATAAACAATGTGAGACATCTTACTCTATCTATTATCACAACTTTGTTGCTAGGTGTCTGAACATAGTTTTTTCAGCCTCAGAATATTTATATATTACAGAGAAGCACAGCCACAGTTGACATGGAGAGACTAGTCATTCTTTCAAACTGTTCAAGAAACTGAAAATGCCAACATGCAATTAGTTTTTTCAGAGCAGCTAAGATGGCTTTTATTTCCTGTAGTGGTGCTTTTAAACAGAGGCCTTTTAGCACTCTGCATGTCAGTCAAGAAGTGTACAGCCACTGTTCCCTCGGTAATTAATGGAATGTCAAAATGTAATTTTATCCAGACAATACCCAAAGGTAGTGTCAGGGTTAAAACATGTGCAAAAAAAAAGAATGAGCAACATTTGTTGACTGTAAAAATCTGCAGTCCAAAGATGTTTTTGGTTTTGCTCTCCCAAGATCTTATTAAAGGCTTAGCATTCATATTTGGAAAGGAAAGTTTAATCTTTGGAAAGGGTTTGTAATAAAAATAAAAATGGTCACCAGCCAATATCAAGTTCAAGTTTTATGCAGCCTTGTCACCATTTTACTGCGTAATTCATCACCTACATCTCTGCCAAGATGCCAGTTGTGCCTGTCTGTGTATGTTAAGCACAAAGCTGCGGCTCTGCGTATGTGTTTAATTCTGCACAGCTACCTGCGACAACAGAATAAATATTTCAGTAGCTTTCAAACTCTTTGCTTAATGGGCCTAAAACAAACTCAAATTCAGCTTTGAGTAGCACTTTCCAACAGCAAGTCGAAAACACTCACTGGTCTTATTTAAAAACGCCCACCCTCATCTACACAGCTCTTGACTTCTCAAACAGATAATGACTATCAATTTAGAGCAAATAGGTCCTTAACTGTGGTTGTTTATGGGCTGTTTGAATCTCGCTCCATCGCACAAAGACAAGTCATTAGGATTCAGAGTGAAATCCTCTAACCCTCAGTAGACACTTTCCTGTTCTCATACATGCGTCATTTTGCTTTCCCCATCAAACCTCTGCTATCATCACTCTTGATCGCTTTCATTATTTATGTCTCTCAGGTCACTTCTACCCAAACATGCTGGGGAGATCCGTCTTCCTCATGTGTGTCGTAGCCCAGTTCTAGAGAAGCCAGATGTTCCAGTAGCCTTATTTTAACTCTCTCAGGAACAAACAGGAATATTTTTGTACCTGCTGTAATTAGAAATCGCTATTGTTCCAGCATCTTCACCCCGCTGAGACCTGTTCCACTTGGCAAGAAACAAACAGCACAGATTATTCTTCTACACAATATGTGGGTGCTAATGCGCACACAAAGATTTTGATTTTACATGAATGTTAATATTTATGTTTGAAGCAGGTGCTTATGTTGCTCCGCGTGAGATTCATAAATCATAAATCTACATGATAGATATTTGTACCTGAAGAAGCCACCAGTTTTAATCCTGTTATGTATTATACACGCTCCCATTTTTAGTCACTTTCATTTAATCAGGTTTAGTTGGTCAGGTATTAGACTGGTATCAGGACCCGTCTGTACCTTTAACAGTTTTAATTTGTCCAAACGCTGAGTAAACAGGCCAAAGAGGCAGGAAATGTTGCAGAGCTTGAAGTAGATTTTGATTTAATTGGATCCTGGTCTGTTATTGGTTCTGCTCGAGGGTTGTTTGTGATTGATTCTTTTAGTTGGCTTCCTAATGTTGTGGGAAGGAAATTGTGCTTTCTGGTGTTGCTGTAAGCCATATGTAGAAATGGGTTTTGATCAATTCCAATAAGGCTTTATAAGGTGTACTTCCAAAACTGATTTAAGGAGTTTTCTTTCTTTCTTATTTCTTTTTGAGACTTTAACACTGAAACTGGTAATATCCAGTAAAATTCAGCTTTTAGTTAAATACATATATTTTATGGGGATACAAACACAAATGAATGGACAGATGGATACATAACAGGACAGTTTATTTGTTGAAAATCTGCTGATATTAGGTTTTTGAACCGGCTGCCTTCTTTTAATGGTCTGGTCTGGTTATATCAAATTTCTTTTTAAACAAAATCTGTGCAACAAACAAAACTACATTTTCCCAACACAGCAAAGATATGGCACCAAATCTTTAAAACGATTGCATCCCTCTCTACTGCAACAGTATGGTGCTGGTGTGATAGTGATTAAGTAGAGCATTAGTAAGCTGTTTTGCAGGAACTGTTTCTGTCTCAGGTGCACATATAGGACAGCAGAGGGATTTAATTACTTAAATAAGAGTGAATGATGAGCCTCGTTATTTCTCTGATGTGATTAGAGAGTGATACAGATTGAAGCAGCTTTTCTGCTTCTCAAAGGACAAATTAATAATAATTAATGGATGGATAACCGTCTTTAAGTTAATCTGCAGTCAAATGTTTGTGCAGAAGTCTGTGTGTGTAACATGTATTAAATATAGGCCTGGCACATGTTGTCATCTTCTAATGTGAATTTTCATTCAGTAATATGCAAAAAAATATTGGGTTGAGGCAATGTATGTTCTATAATGCTTTAATCAGAGAAAGTAAAACATCTCTAGAGGGGCAATGCCTACCCTGTGTGCTCGCTGTATATACTGTGCTCCACTGCTAACCTTTTTATATTGTAATAATACCATTTCATGATAATGTCATTTATACCATATCCAGGTGATTTAATGCTTAATCTAAATAAACTGTAGGTTGCATCTCTAATCTTATTGGTTGCAAAAGGTAATGCAGCACTTTGTACTATATGCTATATGGCATCATGATTGATCTTACCCTTTGTAAGTTACCAAGGAAACTGTGTTTTTGAAATGTGCATGATGTCATTCTTGAGTTCATTATGACTTCACTGACTATATATCATACAATGGGGAATCATTTCCTGATCAATAAAAACTTTAGATTGTTTCTTGACCTCGACCTATTATATCCTGATGTAGCTTAGAAAATAAATTCTTACCATGGTTTTCTTGACCCAGGCCTTAACCTTTGAATGACCAAACGTTAATCATCAGTAATTTTTTCCACACACGTACACAGACGAGGGTGAAAATCATAAAGCAGAATAGGCCGATGTGCAGGGTAAACATTGTTAATGAGGATTCTGTCCACATCAAGAATTGGAAAGACATAATTAGTTATTACAGCATATAGGAATGTGTTTTATTTTTGTTGTTAGCGTTTGTCTAGGTTGAGTGGCTTTGTGTTGGTGTTAAATCAAGGCTAAAGGTTATAAAATGTAATTAGGATTTACCATGGCATGACTAATATACAACATTAAGTAGCTGGGTAAGAGTGATAGTGTAACTTTGTTAATTATTTTTGCTTCAGATGTGGGGGAAGTAACATTATGCAATCTTTGATAGGGACTCCTCCTCCTAATCAGCAGTCTCAAACACGTTGAAAGAAAATCCAGCTATTCCCTGATGCCATGAATAAATGCGGGAGAGAAAATTAGGTGTCAAATAGATGCAAGGCCATGCAGGTAATTGATGCTAATTTCTCAATTTTCTCCCTCTGGTTGTTATTTCATGTGCAGACTCTCCGTGTTTAACTTGATTTTTATATAAATGCACATCTCTCTGAAGAAGAATAAATCATTCTTCGCTTATGAACAGTCACAGAGCAGACGCATCATATTTCCACGTGGAGTTCTTCACACCGATGAAAAAGATTTATTTCCAAGTGTGGGTTGTGAAATTGCACGTATAAAAGACAGCAGGTTTTCACTTTATACCTTTGGTGTCTCGTGTACTTGAGAACTCGAGGAAGAGCTCATTTAAATCAGCAAAATGTGCAAACATTTCACTGACTTTATGAGTGGGTTTGGCCATGTTCAGAGTGTCTGTATCTCCCCTAATCTCTGGAGCCACAGCAGATCTTGGCTTAGTCTTGTCCTAACCGGCTCTGAACTTCTGCTCCGTGGCACTGCTGTCAAGGCAACATGCTTTCAGACTCACAGACGCCACCATGACAACTTTTTGGAAGAGGAGAATAGAGCTGCTTCTCAAGTTGGATCGGGTTAAATCCAGTGAGACTGGGTATCTATTTTTACATCAGACCGGTGATGATGCTTTTTGTATGCGATAACATACACTTGAGAGGTATTCATGTATTATACCACTGTACTTTGTAAGAGTTGTAATGTATTTTTGCAGATGTACTTTGGGGAGAGAGATGGCTGGAAAACAGAAAGGCGATAATATTTCATTCTGCCATCCAATATATAAGCACGTCATTACTAATGCAGAGGTAGCTGTTCATCTGCGTGGTTTACCCACTCAATGGGAATTCATGCCTCCGCGCCTGAAGCACTAATAAATGTTGTTTACTCTAACTCCCCGAGTCCACACCTTTGAGAGTATAGATGTATTTAATAGCAGCAGCCATTATGAAGCAATCAATTAGATTGAGTGCTTGTTCTGTGCTGCTCTGAGTTTTGGCCTTTCTGTTGAATGACGATGTTTTTCAAGGGAGCGCAGATTTTATTAGTGAAAGTTGTTGTTTTTTTGTCTCTCTCCCTCTCTCTCCCTCTCTCTCCCTCCCTCCCTTCAGGTGGCCCTCCATGCATGTGGCGTTGCAACGGACATGGTGATGGAGCATTGTATCCAGGCAGGAGCCGCCTTTGTCATCAGTCCCTGTTGCTATGGCTTCATTCAGAACGCAGTCAAGTTCACCTTCCCCAAGAGGTTTGTAGCTACACGCCGCACCTCGGTCCAGTGTCACCTCTCCAGGTTTCTGCCTTTAAAAAAAGAATGTTTCTGACCTTGTTGTTTTCTTGTTAGATCACCTGCTTGTGTCAGTGCCCCCCCCCCTCCTCTACTGTCTCTGAGGGATTTTTCCACTTTATCTTTACCACTCTATCATTTTCCCACTCATTCACACTTTTACTCACACATACACTCAATCTGTACCTCTTGTAGTTACATTTTTTTCCACCTCCTGTTACTTATCATCGCCACTGACAGTGTGAGACAACGGCAGTGCATTGCCTCGTTCTATCAGCGACACAGACTATGGTTCTCTCATGGATATTAGAGAGTGACAGGGAAATCCATTTCACGAGAAAAGCTGCTCTTATCAGAATTAGATTATCACTCGGTATTAGTGAGAATTAACCACTTAATTTTCAGTCCTGCCGATAACCTGAGCTAAAATGTGTTTCTGTTTGAATAGAGGTAGGTGGAAGAAACAACAGCAGCAAGGGGAATGTGGAAAGAGAGGGTGTACTTAAATGCTGTTGATCCTGTCGCTATAGCAGCATTCAGTACTGTAATAGCTTAAGAACCATAGCAAGGCAGTATGTCGCTAAAACAACATTGGGAAAACGGGGACGTCAAGACAAAGCTGTTGTGTAGGATTGCTGTTGTAGCAACTGAGAGACTGTGATCACAAGCAAGTGAAGGGAAGATATGTGTAATTGTTGGGCTGATTATAGCGACGGTTGGGGCTTTAGGACTGACAGGTCTGTTTTATTTTGGGTTTTTGGATGAGAACATCACTCAGTGTGTGGTGGTTAAGGATTCTACAAATGTTCTTTCCAATTCAGTCGATGCTTCTTTATGGTTATTTTTATCTCAGCATCACAAACACTGTTGGTGTTTAATGGATACAAATCTAATTTAAAGCTTTTGCACAGCTACATATGCTCTAAAATGGAATGACTGTATGAAAAGTTACAGCATCATATAGACATGAGGATACTGAGAAAACCCAACACCTGTATTATCTGCCAGTGACATTTGAATAGCAAGTAGCACTTGTAACATGTATAATGTGTTATATCGATTAAAGTGGGCAAAAAGCAATGTACATGGTGGATGGTGAAAAGCAGTGGCATATTCTTTAGAAATGCTGTATTTTCAGGGACTCCTTCTTATCAATCAAATTTTATTTGTATAGCCCATATTCACAAATCACCATTTGCCTCATTGGCCCTAACAAGCTGTGACGTCATCGGTCCTAGAGTGAGGAACAGAAAAACAACTTTTTAACAGAGAAAAAAATAAGCATAGCGTGTAATAGAGCACATCAATCACAACTGATCCTAAAACTGTGCCTTGAGGAGGACCCTCAATATATAGTGTGAATATTCAGGAGTTTTCACCAACTTAGTTTCTTCTCTCCTCACTTTTGCTAACTTGACACTTCACCTCTCCTGACTCCTCATAAAATATTTAAGTACGACAAAAAAAAGCTGTAGTGGACAAGAAGCCGTGTTTCTGCAGGGCAGTATGTGCGAGGGGCCTGCGCACCTGACCGTGTCAATCTTCATCTCGCTACTTTTAGTGTTTTCCCCTCAGGTCATGTTCCAGGTACTGGGGTGGATTTTCTGCAGGTGTAGACATTCCAGAGAGTTCACAGGTTTTTATGAGCTGTGAACTGCCCTCTTCATTAAGGCTCCAACTGTTCCAGTTAAACATAAGACGTCTCCATGTGATCTGACCGACCTCTGACCCTCCTCATGTTGATTTTTAATCAGCTCTGACAATGATCTGACTGTGTTTAACCATCACAAACAAACTGACTTTGTTCTCATGTTAATGCAGGAGCCTTGTTTTTATAAAAGCTCATGTTTCCCAGAGAGACTGTGTTTTACTTTAGAGGCACACAGGCTGTTTTTATGTGGAGCCTTTGGTTTTACTGTATGCTATATGTATGCATGGGCTATATATGCATATGTAAACACACACCACACACACCAAACACAACACACACACAGTAGGGTGGGGTTTAAATGTGCGAGACCAGATCACTGGTTTTAATCTTGTTGTCCATCTGTATATTGTCCTAGTCTGTTTTTAAAGAGATTGTCTTTTAGAAATGAAATTGTAAACATATGACATAGAAGTATATCGTGCATATACATTTTCCTCACATTTTTGCACATTTAACATGAAACAAAATCTTCTGCTCTTTTTTTCTGTTTTTACAGCAAAAGGTTCAAAGAAACCCTGACTTATAAGGTAGGCATTTAAATGGGATTAAATCCCTCTGTTGCATGTATTATTCATTTGCACTGAGGCAAAATATCAAGTGCAGAATATTCAATTACAGCAAGTTTTTACAAGGATTGTGTTTAAGATTCTGTTCACTGTGCACACACGCCGAAAGACGCCTTTGTGGGACATGACTTTGTTTAAAACCTGGTATTCATTAGTCTTACGTACTTTGCTACAACACAGTGAGACAAGTTTTTACTTCTCGCTAAGTGCATCTTAATTGATATGCCTGTGCATTAACAGAGGTCTAATTTAATCAGAGGCATATCGTTTAAACGTGAATTTTTTCACACTTCCAGTCCTGAGAGCAGTGACCCAGTGAGAGGTGGAATGTTTTGTCCTAGCACGATTGTCAACACGCAGCAAACGCAGCAGCCGCACAAGATTCAGACAAATGTTCAGACAACTGAGAAACACACACCTGGTTGCACCAGCTTATTGTTCATCCATCTCTGGGTGAAGTCTAACTACTAGCATATTACTTTTGAAGTAAATAAGTGACATGTAAATTGGATGCTTGAAAAACATCTGTTGTGCAACGACAGTATGTCAACAGGTTTCTCTAGCACCAAAATCACAACATGAAATCTAAAAATCTCTATAAACAGACTTTACATGTGAATATGATGAATCTGTAGGTAAGGGATGAGATTTGGGGATGGAAGCCTTCTGGTTTCTGTCAGTAGTTTTGGTTGTCTCCATGTGAACAGTTTGTGTGGAGACCAAAATGCATTGGCTTATGGATTTAAAATGTATCTGCATTCAGATGCTGATAGCTGGTAATGGTTATCAGCTAAAATGTCGTCTGGACCTTGAACACAAACAAAATGTATGACTGCTTGTGTTTTGTGTGGAGAAACGTAACTTGTGTGGACTTTAAACGGTGTGCGGCGATCAAGGCGGAGTTTTGAGCCGGATATCTGCTGTCTTCCCCAGAAGCCCCAAAATACTGTCTCTCTCCCCCTGAGGCTAATGCAACGTTAGACAGTGGGCTCTGAGACTGTGATATAATATAATTGCAGCCTTTAGTAAAAGCAAGTATCACTGTTTTGTTTATACTAACACACTTAATTGTGCTTCGGAAATAGAAAATACAATGGCATTACATGTTCTAATTGGAGGTTGTCCTGTGCTGTTTATTTTTGTTTAATAGGATCTAAAATCTTCTGATTTACACCATTGTAATTTATTCTACATTTATATCATAATTCAGATTATTCTTAACTCAAGAAGAGCTGGTGCTTTGTTGTTTGGATTTACCATAAATCTATTCTAAAATTTTTTTGCTTGGATGAATGAGTTTTCTATTGCTCTATTTGCTTTTATTTATTTATTAAAATGTTATATCATTTTATGGCATGGTAATAAAAAATTAATGAGATCTCTTGGCCCATCACTGTCTCGGGAACAAAGATTCCCCAGGCAGTTACAAGAGGCAGGCTCACACCTTTCAGTTTTCAATCCTGTATCGCTCAGCACAGACAAAGCTCTGTGCTGGGGGAGTGCCCATCCCATGATGATGTATGAGACCTGTCAGTGCGCCTGGGGAGAATTTCTGCAAAAAAGGTTGCTGCAGGTCTCCGCCATAGCAACCTCAGGAGTTGACATGTCACAACATCAGACCACCTCTAACTTTTCTTTTCTTTGGTGGGCGCTTGAAGAAACACATTCTTAAAGATGAGGCTTGAGAGCCACGGAAGATTTCATATTATTTACAAGACACTAGTCAATTGTTGTGTACTGTGATTCTGAGCCGCGTATATTTTTTTTTCCTACAGTTTGTCCAAAAGCCCAGGGAGGCAAAGAAATCACAATTGCAATAGTTTCTTTTTGGAAATAAGAGCTAAACAAAATCTATATCCTGTTTAAACCAGCAAACATATTATCTGCCATTTCAAACCTGTACTCTAAATCTACTTTGCTTGCTCTTATGGTTTTGCTTTCATCAACCATGTTTTATATTTTCCATTTGTTAGCCTCGATACACAGAATCCCACTGTTTGCTTGTGTCTCTGCTTCCAAACCCCAGCTGGCACTTGTAGATATAAAAGCAGCATTACTTTGTTTTATTGCAAGACCATAGCTGTCCTGCCCCAACTACAGTAGTTAAACAGAATGACAGCACTTTGACAAATGGTGTATCGCCGGTATAAAGGGCTAATGGTGTGAGACATCGGTGCTCAGCTCTAACTTTAAGCACCTGCTCTGTGGCCTTGCATTCCACGTCGACCCTGCAGAGTGAGGGATAGAATCAATTAAAGTGTGAGCGGGTTAGTGATGACTAACCGCTCTCCTGAGTCACTTGTTCCATGAACCATAGCGAGGTAAAAAACAGGAGTGGAAAAATTGATAGAAATAAATAAACAGGGTAAGTGGCTAGAGTCTGACCTTTCTGCAGCGTTTACAGGGAAGGTTTTATGAAAAGAATCTTAGAATGACAAAAGGTTTACAGAGGGAATAAGTCTGATCTTCTCTAAACTGATCAACCGAACTGTTATACAAGGAAATAACTGAATCTAATCAAGATTTTGCTAATATTAGCATCCTGTAATTATCACACTGAATATGCCAACATGCTGTTTTTACATAGAGTAATATCTATGCATAGACTTTACATATAGATGGACAACATGCCTCCAATTCCGCACATTAGTGACAGTGGGGTGGAGCCGCAGTATTGAGGTCCAGCTATTTGATAGCATCAAAAAAATAATTAACACATTTCTGAAAAAATAAAAATTGGACAAACATCAGTGTGTTAGGAACGACAGAAACCATCTCTGTTTATTTAACACTTTTGTGTTCGGTACATGTCCCATCTGCTAACATGGCTGAGGCAGGGTTTATGACCTCTACTGCAGCCAGCCACACACACATACACACACACACACACACACACCGTCCACAGCTGCAAGCAGAATGAGAATATGTAGAAAAATGATGGATGAGTAGATTTGTTAAATGCATGCATGCCTGTATGTGCATGCATAATACTGTAAGGATTATTTATCCCTGATAGACTTGATTGATGATTTGGCTGATTTTGCATTGACCGGATCAATATGTGTTACTGTTAACATCAATTTCACCCTGTAAAAACTGTCCCTGTGCATATTGTGTTGTCCTTGTTTCAGGAACACATGATCCTTTGCCGCTTTGCAGACCAAACTGCTGCCCAGCTCCCTCCTGACCGACGACTCATAGGTACTGTTTCTAATCCTCTCCTTACACATTGAACATGTCTGGTGATAGAAATGAATGCCTCGTTAATAACGATTTTTTTTTTTCAGCTATTGTTATGAAATCAGCTACTTTTTTCTAGAATGACTGAATTTTGTGATGTTGCTACCTCAGTGTCATAACACCAGTTTTATTTGTGTTAATCAAGCGGTCCAGTGTAATGTCACATTCTGACATGTGGCTTTGATTTGCTGTCTCAAACTTTAATAGTCACTGAGGACGTGATTTGTGAGATTCTTAAACTACAACCACACAAATACATTATTCTTTAAAATGCATTTTCATATCAGTAATAATACATGTACATACTAACGCAACTAAAGACACATCACGTGGACATTCACATACACTGGGCATGTGCGTGCTGGTGTACAGATTTTCTACCATTGAAACAACAATGATGAATCTTTCTTATTGGACTGATGACGGTGAAACAGGTGATGAGAAGTGTTCTCAGTGTATAAACGTAGCAGCAGCAGCAGCGATGCATTTTAAAACTAAAATGTGAAGGTAGCCTCACACTGTCACCTGACCTCACTTCTCTATGTTTACAATTGATTGGAGTTTGGAGAAGTGTGACAAATGTTAATGCAGGGGTTCCTGCAGCGGGACCAAACAGCTGCAGTGAACAGCTGCCACATCGGTTTTGTCAGATTCAGATGGGAAGTGTTTTGTTTGAAGGAATCCTTGAGGCCTGAGCTGAAACGTCAATGTTGAGCTTCACTACATGGACGAGCCTCCTCATCCTGATAGCTCTCCATTGCCCTGTCACTCTGAAGCCTGTTCATATGTACCTGGCATCACCCGTCACAGCAGCTCCTGCTCTTTATCAGTTAACAGGACTCAACCTCTCTCACAAAGATTTTTTCTAACCGTATTTGATGTCATCTCTCTGCGGAGCCCGCCAGTGTGACTGTGACCGTCTGGCAGCATCGCAGAGCAAAGCTCGCGATTACTGTGTCGACCACCTGCTACGTAACTGCTTAACTCAAATCTGCTGTTAAAGGAGATCCTAAGAGAACAGCATGATACTCAGTGAGAAGAACATATGAATGAATGGAAGATAAAGGAAGCATGCACATAATCGTAAAAAAAAACATTTACCAAGCCTGCGAAGATAAGCTGCCAAAATGGCTTCACTCCGCCAGTACTTTAACTCTACTGGAGACAGCTTGTCTCATAGGTGTTCAGCAGTTTTAAAATCTGATGTCTCGGAGACGACAGCATACGATTCTCATCATTTCATACTTGTCGACTCTTTGGGTGAACCCCCGTGCCCCGAGGATGAGGACATTGTCATCCTCAAAGAGACGTCTCAAGGACAACGTCACATTTCTTTGTCTCTTGGCATTTAGAGTCAAAATTGAGTTTAGCTGGGTCCGCCCTGCATTTTTTATAGCCTGGCTTGATTCAATGTTTAATTTAATCGCACAGTGCACATGTATGGAAGTATCTGCAAATCTAATGCTGGTTTATTCCTGTTTGTCTTTAACAAAATGTATCTACAGTTATTATCAAATTGAAATTAAACAATGAAGTTTACAGTTCAATTATAATAGTTCCTTTTAAATAATAACACATTTCTTCTTACAGCTTTTGTCAACTTCAAAGTAAACAAGACATTTTATTGTTCATTCAATTATAAAATGTTCTTGTTGAAGACATCTGTACAAAACATCTTAATCAGTGGAAAATCAAACTGCCCCAAATTTCACAACATTGTAGACGTCAGTTCTTTGAATGTGCCTTTTTTGGGACATTATTTTATTTTAATGTGATTAAAAGCTGTATTTTTCTGTATCGATCTCTGCAGGTAAACAGTGTATGGGCCTGGTCGACTTGGACCGGTCGTGGGCAGCAGAGACCCATGGGTACTCTGTGCGGGTGATGACCATGGAGCCTGAAAGCTGTTCACCGAAGAACAACATGCTGGTGGGGAAGCCTCCGCAGAAGAGCGGACTGGAAGTCAGTGCGAGCCAACTTGAAGCAGCGGTGCATAGCAAGGACTGAAAGCAGCGGTGTACAGCAGAGCTTCTTCTGCATGGTCGGGGTTTGATAAGGTGCCCAGTGACTCTGCTGAAAACTGTTTCGTATCCAACCTCCACACTTTATTTCTATTCACTTTTAACAAGCCCCCCCCCTTTTTGTAAGAAGTGGCCTCAGAAAAATAAAAAGAGATGTCTGCTTATTTTATCTGTCCTGAAGTCAACCTCCACAATTTCTGTCAGCCTTGAGGTAGAATCAACGTTGCCATGATTTTTGACTTGATAAACACCTCAGAGGACAAACCTGCTCCTTAGTCTAAGATCCAGTCATTTTCAACCTGGTGTATGTCCCATAAACAAGGCTCAGAAGAGAGTATGACTGCAGGGGAAGTGTTGAATATCTCAGCCAGCCAATTGACCTGGATGTAGATCCTTATAAGTCAGCATGATGATCCTACATACTCGGTCAGACACCGAGTAAAATCATTTATTTAGAAAGCTGGAGGAGACTTGCGCTGATTACCCACGAAATACCCTACGTCCACATTTCCCCCCCGATTCTTCGACACGAGTCGCCACAGCCCATAGATCCACATTAACAAGAAATATATCAAGATGAAAAATACTGGAATCATCCTTCAAATGTGCTCAATTATATACTGTGATCGAGCTATCAGCGTAAACAGTAGCAGAGACAATTACACGCCCACATCGTGAATTAAGTACACAATACTTCCACATGCTGTTTCTGCAAATAGTCTGCAGCCCTCTGTGATGGATCTCAGCAGTCAGCTCTATCTGTCGCCTAGTATTAACACAAGGAAGAGAAACTCATCTGCACTTAGATGAGATGGGAGTTATCATTATCTACCCTTCCTGTGTGTGTTTGAGAGAAACTGAGAGGGAGGAACTGGATTCAAACTCGTATCACATCAGGTGAAATATAGCATTTGTCAAGGTTCTACAGAGAAACTGATTATTCCTCATAAAGTATGGATGTGAGTATGGTATGCATCCAGTAATACGTTCAGCAACAATGAATATTTTATGATGCCGGCAAAAAGGTCAGGGTGCTTGATTAGATGTGCAGTGTTCAGAGCCGAGTAGCTAAAAAATCACACAATGTGCTCGCCATTTCCAATCCTGTGCACCGTGGACGCACTACAGCCTGAGAGCTTTCATTCTCGCGGGTGAAACCGGTCATCTGTGTCTCTCTAAAAAAAATCATTTGTGTTCAGCTTTGACAGTGCGTTGCAGCTTCTTGAGAAAACTGAGCAGGTAGCCGGAGCGCTGGTTTTCCCACTCACACTGTGAAGGGATAACTGAGAGAGTTGCATTCGTCTCCAGCTTTGAGCTCATCTGAATTCAGTAAGCAGAGTCAATCTTTCCTGAGGTGAATGGCCACAGACACAGCTCCTTCCAACCACTGGAATTGTTTCAAAAGGAGAAGCAACTGACTGAACTGCCTGTTCTCGCTGGTGGCTCTGCACAAGTGGATATTTCAGAAGTGCAAATAGGCGTAAAGGAGGAGAGAGGGAGTTTGTGGCACCCGGTCGAGCTGACATTAGAGAGGACAATATTGAGGTGCATTTAACCTGAACACCCGGAGCCAGACAATGACATCACAAATCACTTTGGGGGAAAAAATGAGGAGATACCTGATTTTATTATTTGAATAGGGCGTTTATTTACTATTCATCAGCTTCACAAAGCCTTTATATGAGCTGAATGTATCGTCAGCTTCACCAAGGAGGCTCTCATCTGTGTTTGTTTGTATTTTAGCACAATTAAGCAAAAACTATACTCAACCAATTTCTTCTACATTTTATGGAGCTGTGGGACATGACCCAACAAAGAACCCATTCATTTTTAATCCGCTTTGTATTTTTACAATATCGAGGGTATATGAAGATGAGTAATGTTTAATTCCCCACTGAGTTGCCTGGACCAGGATATACTCCGACTTTTGTTGCCAAAACTCTGTCAGATTACGATTTTTAAATCACTTTTGCCAACTGTGTGCTAGAAATTCCACATGCACCTCCACATTTTGTGTATGCAGTCCGATCGAGAGAGGGTGGACAGCGCAAAAACTGGTGGAAATCAACTAGAAGACAATTATCTGATAGATGGACGATATTGGAAGTGTATAAAATGAGTCTGAATACACAGCGGAGGAACTACGTCCTATGGAGGAGGGATCAGCGTATTGTCGTGAATGCAGATGAGGGGGTGGATCTAAGAATAGATAATAATTCAAGGATCTTGCTGCAAGAAATCCGTCATGTTTAGGGGACTGATATGAATGTGTACAATTTGGTGCAGATCCAAATAAAAATCCACATCTGAGTGAATTTAAATGTGGTTTCATAAGAGGACTGTTGGGCCTTGATGGAGCTTTGTGCTCTACTGAGTTCCATTCTAGCTCATAGTGTGATTAACCAATTGGCCTTTCCCAACATGTGAGCTGAACCTGAACCAAATGTTTTCTACATGTAAAGTAAGATGTAATGTAACCAGTGGCTGTGTAAGTGTTCACAAATGAATCGTGACTTAAAACTCGGACTAACGCTATAACTTTTCTCACACTCTTTTTCAAAAGCTCTGAACTCCACAATCTGCTGCAGCAGAAATCGTCTACCAGGAAAAAAAACCTGCTTTCATTGTTTAATTAACTTTTTAATTGTGATTAAAAATCTGCTCTACTTGATGTTTTGCTCGACAGTTTTCAGCTTCATTACTCTGGCTGGTGTTTATGGCCGTTTGCGTGCAGCAGCTCGTCGTGGTGCATTTGAGGTCCCTCTCTGCTGATTTGAAATTCTCCCCTTTTGACAATTGGTGATAATCAGTTTATTTTTATAAAGTACAAGTTGAGATGAAATGGCTCTGACCTGCCCTTCCTATTATCGCAAATATCACACTTGCTCTTTTATTATTTCCATTTAACATGCATTATCACCGCTGTGTTTCATTTGACTCGCATTCATTAATTTTCCAAATAAACAATGTTGAGAATAATTATAGGATCCCAGAATAACAACAGTCATTATGCACACACTTCCTCTCCAGTTGCCTACAGCAGGTCCCAGCTGCTGTTGTTTCGCGCCCCTTAATAATCTTGTAATGTGTTCCCTGACGCTTCTAATCCTGCTTGCCACATCAGGCGTCACCTTTATATAACCCTTTAAATAAGATTACCCCGCTTTTATTCTTCTTTTCTTATTCTATACTTTTGTTTTCTGCAGCACATTCTGTTAAGCTCATTTTCCCTCTGGAGATCATTGGCCAATGAAAACATTTTTGCCTGGGTTTAATTAGTGCACATTTTTTAAGGAATCCCAGTAGAAACAGTTGCTTTAAATTCTAACTAAAATAACTTTCAACTTTAATCCTCAGCAGATAAAAAAAACAAGTTGTCTGAGTGAGATAAATGGATTGGATGTAATCGAGGCTAATGTATTTTTGTGTTTTGGGTGAACGGACTGTTTACTTTTATCAGACTTCAGCTTTCAACAACATATGAATATTGTCGGTAATGAGGCGTGATTTTGTTGATCTGCAAAACCCATAACTCATTTTGAAAAGCGATAAGTCATCACTGAATCACGTTGTTACAGTTCTGTCGCGGTGAAAATAATGTGATTAATGATATAATTATACACAACCTGCGTTTCTCCGATCGCTTGCTTCTGGAGATGTCAAACCTCCGTGCCAATGCGCAGATTTATCAAACCGGGTGACAGAGCGTAACAAGGCGTCCGCTGTCTTGTATCAAACGGCGGCAGTGACTGAACTCCTGGTTGTTCACGGTCCAGCAGTCCATCAAACCTCCAACTCATTCATCTCCTGCTCCATTACTGGAAATGATGATGTTTGGTTACATGTTACATCTTTTCCCCCTTCTTTCCATTCTTTCCACTCAGTCCTCTCATGAGGAAGTTATTTTACTGCCTTGGATGAGGAAGGCCTCTGTGATTGTGCCATGTTACAGGAAGTAGAATTCACCAGGGCTGTGAAGTGCTGATCAGTGCTGGGATGGAAATGCTCTGTAGTTATATGGTTCTTTCTTGTCTTGAATTATCTAAGTCAAAGCTCTAGACAAAACACATTCACACACGCTCCTCTATGTGCTGCACTTTATCAAACATCACTCATAACACTGCCGGCACAGCTGTCAGGAGCAAATTGGTTCAGTTTATATTGGATTTCAGTTTTGTAACTCTGGCATGTAGAATGCATGACTGGGATCAAACGGCCGACATTCTGGTTTCCGGTTTACGTCGTTACTGTACATCAGTACATTACTCATGTGTATTCTTCACTAGTAGATTTGTGATTGTGTATTTGTGATTTTTCACTTTTACCCCACATATCTAGACTTTCTACTCCAGTAAATGTTTACATTTTATTTCATTACATGCTGTCATTGTTTTTTAAAAATACATTTTTAAAAGTAATTGATAACGAGAGGAACTGATCCATTGATCCAGAGCAGTGAGGTAACATCACACCCGGTCATCACTGGTGAAGAAACGGCTGAGCTGGATTTGGAATAGGACGTCATGAGACTCAACGATGTAGGAGACAGTTGCATTAGGGAATAGGATACACTCTGTAAGTACGTTTGCTTTTAATACAAGTATATTTAAAAGCAAGTTCTGCTGACTCAAGTATACCTTAACTTTTTTTTGTACAATACAAGACTCAGACACCAAATGATCACCATGACTGATGAAGAGTGATAAAGCATCATGTTCAAAACCTGTGAAGTTTAATGTGAAATGTTCATTACAAGCAGCTGAGGTAGCATGTGGACACAAAGACAGAGACAAACTGTTGCTGAAATCTTTGTATCAGTAATTATTCATCACTTGTCTTTATATTTACAATCTCTCCCCAGCTCTAACAAACCCTCTGTTTAACCAAGTGCTCCTGAAACCTCTCATTAACTGTTGTGCGATGCTCCTCTGTTTGTCCTCTTCGAATTCAGCCTCAGTAATTTCCACCTGCATTGTTTTACGTGCACGTGTGAGCACATCTCCCTGGGTGGCCGGTGCCCCCGCGTGCCTCGGCAGGCTGCGCACTTAATGAAGGCGCTCGCGGAGTGTTTGCGCTTCCTCGCAGCTGCTGTGCGGGGTCGTGACGTTGTGAGTTAAAAGTCCCTGGAGAGCCGGCGGCTGGATATCAGGAGCTGCTGTCACCGAGCAGAGGCGAGACGAGGTGCGACTGCAGTGGGAGCTGCTGGCGAGGGAGCCCGCTGACTGAACTTACGAGCAGAGGAGAGAGAGGGAGCTGTGCGCTCTCTCTGTGGAGTCCGACCTGCTCCTCATCCACATGCGCACACATCTCCCTCACACACACACACACTGGGGTCACTCTACTTCCAGGCAGCGGACTGGTTTGTCTCCACCGCACATGACCAGTGTGATCAGGGGACCTTCTCCAACCTGTGCGCATTACGCGTGCGTCAAAGAAGAAACTCGCTGGTTTCCTCCGCGATCCTCCCTCCGCCCGGTGCTCGTGGATTACAGGGGATAACGAGCGGCGTGGACGCGTAACTGTCGGAACCATGGAATTATGGATAAAGTTGACGTTGTTGTGCTGCTGCTGCTTCGGAGCAAGTGCGGACTTTGACGGCAGGTAATGGCACATGGTTCACCGGCTGCGTAAGACGCTGCCTTTAAGAAATAACACTGAATTTGACGAAGAGCCACATCAACCTTTCTCTCTGCCTTTGATTTAAATGCAACACTTCAACTAAACGATTCTTTTAAGATCTCCAAACTGTGCAGCTCAATCTAGATCCTATTCAACATACATATTCATGATACGCGCTCATGTGAAGAGTGAGCACTGATTAGCTGCATCTCCGCTTTATCTCTGTCTCCAACTTTATGGAAAACAGTTGTAATCAAACTCACGCAGGCTCAGCAGACAGAGGCAGTGTGTGCGTGTTTAATGTTTATGTGCAGAAAGCTCCCATGCGCTCCCGGTCGTGCTCAGACTGATTATAAAGTGATGTGACAGCACGCTGCCCGGTGGTTCATGTTCAAACACGAATCCGATGAAGTATGTGAAGACAGAGGTGCGGAGACGCGCCAGACCCCAAAGAATGTCCGAGATTTCCATCTGCCTATAGGCTGCATCTGAGTTCAACGTTTTAAAGTGATGGATGATGGTGGGCGCTTTATTTTACAACCATTTATTGTAATTAAGTCTTAAACAAGTATTTTAAAAACAAATTTTCAAATAGTTTGTTTCATGCTTGTTTATTCGATTTCCCTGCAGACTTGTGCAAGTAACATCAAAACTATACCTCTAGTTGTTGTGTTGTGTTGAAGTCCACCCAAACTGTGAGAGTTACTCAGAGTCCTATTCTGTCAAATATCCTTCATCTCCATCAGAGAAAGCAGCTTGCTCTCTGTTCTTCGTCATGTATCTCTGTCAGACAGGCTGAGTCCCGCAGCCTGCACCCCTCTCATGCCCTGCCATCTTCAAATGAATCAAGAAACCTTGAAGATTATGAGGGTAATTGCTGTTGAAATAGTGTGCATGCATTCAAAAGAAAAAGAACCAGACCTTCTGCCATTCCACCTGCTTGTTGACAGACTCTGACGTTTTCCCTCCTCGGCCTCTTTAAATCCAGTCTGCTGCTGTGGGGTGAACTGTTGTTGAAGAAGTGATTTGGTAATCAAAGGTTTCAACAAGAACAAAATGTGTGCCTGTGAGAGAGCGAGCAGGAGGAGAGGGCAGACAGTTACACAGAGCAGAACATTAGAGTTAAGCATTTGCTGGCTCATGTGTAATTGTTATTTAGGAAATTTTTCACCGTGGCTAATGTCTGTGTGACAGGCTGCAGCTCGATAAGACGTGTAGGGCCTCAAGTTTTATTTCACGCATTGCCTTTGTGTAATGATCATTTGCTTTAACCTAGCAGCAGCATATTGTACATTATTAACATCCCTGCTGATGGAGTGGCTTGTCACCGTGGCCATAATTTGCCAATTTTTATGGGTATAAACTCGCCCGGCCCAGAGACTGTGCTTCAATATTAATTCATTGAGAGAATATCCCCTGAGCCCGTGCACAAGCAAAAAAGCCATTTATTTCCGAGTCTCCCTCACTTATTGCCTTTTTAGAGAGCGTTCCTAACAGGCTTATTCATCTCGCCCTGAAGGGTCCTTCACGGGCATCATTGGCAAGATGATTTTGTTCTCCCATGGCTTCAGATAATTTGCTTTCCTGCAAATCTGTGCCTAAAAGCATTGTGCCGTCATTGAAGATGTTGTTGTTGCCAGTTTTTATTCCCAACCAAGGACTGAAGGATGCAGATTTCCTGTCATGTAGCACAGAAGACTTTTTTCCAAAACAAAAGACAAACACATACAGTAGACCAGAGGATCTGTTTCCCAAGTGATGTCACTAAACTGTTAAGCCCAACGCAGCCAAGCAGCACATACCAGACCTCCTCAGTAATAATCCAAAGTCGTGGACTGGTGCCAGGTAATGTTGGCGTTGTAACATCAGACCCACTTTTTAGCCTTTGAGAATGAGAGTGCTAAAACACTGAGTCACATTTTAATTGTATGAAGTAATATAAAGAAACACGTTTATAGTTTTCTACTCAGAGACAAGATTCTGCAGGTGGACAA